AAACTGTGTGGATTATTTGTCATAGAATTTGTTAGGGTTAAAACCTTAATTATCCCAAAAGTATTAGAGTGAACTTTTTTAAATACACTTCTTTATTCAAGGATAGAAATAACTTTTTTTTTTTTTTAAATTAAAATTGATGTTTTGCCAACACTTAATGAAATGCTTTTTTAGCATTTGTAGGCATTTATACTAATTTCCTTTGGTCTGCCTAAAGAGTGAAATGGACAAGTATTATTAATGTTTTTATTGCTTCATGCTAAGCAAAAGGACTCAATTTTTTTTTCACTAATGTGAATGTCTTTTCCAAGTGTGTGGGATTAATATGATTTTAAAATGTTCTCCAAATTTCTATCTTAATTCTCGGAACTTATTTTTTAACTGAAGAGTCAAGGTCAGATTTATATTTGCTGTAAGGTTTGGTTTCTCCCTGGTTTTGATTTCCTTCTCTACCTCTTACCTGCAAACTAAAAGAATCCTCACTACTTGCAGGTTATTTGCAATATAGAGCAGCTTTTTTACATTGACTCACTTAGAAGTCATGGGAAGTATCCTATTTTAAAACAAAATCCAAATAAATATATTTGGCTGTAATTTCAGATTTTAAAACATGCACTTATAATTATGCAGTAATATATATTTGCTATATAATCTGCTGCAATAATTTTAAATTGCTTCCAGGGGTTTACTGAAGAAAATCTTTGAGTTGTGGAGACCTTTAATTAACAGTCTTCTGTTTTCTTTTATGAGGTAGTTAATTATTTGCTAGTGTCTGTAATGGCTAAAGTTGTAAATTTTATACTTTAAAATTTTACACTTTAAAATTTTACCAACAATTTTTGTGGAAATGCAGCTTTTAGGAAAAAAGGATAATTGTGATCTCTGTCAAAATTAATACAGTATATTAATTTCTTACAATATGAAAAGCTGCAGAAAACCTTTTTCTTTTCCTTCCCCTTTCTTTATTTTATCTTTTTGTAATAATCTACTTATTTTCCTGTAATTCATTATAGAATATCATAAAGTTCTAGAATTAATTTCAGGTCAATCTTCCCTGTAGGCCCAACACCATTTTAGGCAGCATCTCACATCCTGTAGGGTCTCTAGGAAGCCCATGGATAGAGCTGAGGTTTTATGTAATTTTAACCACAGCTTCAGTAAGAGCAGCATTTCTGAATAGACTGCATTGGATGTCTGTTGGAAAAGACTTCAAAAAAAGGATCTTTAGACTAGTTGGTAGAGCACTACTACTGCATGAAAAAGCTCTTGGAATTCTAGCATAAGATTTGGAGAGGAGATGTTCCTGCAGACACCACTACATGGTAGCAGTGACCAGGAGCTTTCATTTTGGCACTTTGTAAAGGAGGATGTAGTTTTCTAAATAGCAAAATGACACAGATCTACTATTACAATTTTTGCTATACATAATTATAGCGCCTATGTCTTGTTGTAATGCAATCCCTTCTTCTTCTTCCTGAAATAACTTGATTAGAAAAAAAGTTGTTTCCTGAGATGAAAAGCCAGCTACAGCTTCATTGATGTAATCCTGAGTTGAGTTTAGGCATTTACGTGTTGAATAATAGACTGTGTCTGTGGACTTGCTCTGTAGAGAAGCGAAATATGAGTGTAAGTTAGTGTGGGGGTGAGCTCAAATTGCATCTGCAGGTATTCTGAAAGCTGATCTTCCCTCATGCTTTTCTTCTCTAGACACAGAGGTTATAGAGACCATCAACTTCAGATTTTTGTGTGGTGAAATTCAAGAATTTATTAATAGTAACCAATATGTAATGTTTCCCATTGGAATTGTTTTTTAACCCCATGCTGGCAAACAGAAGTATTCAAATGAAAAGCAATGTAAAGACAGTGGAATAATCTCGCTTCAGAAGATAATACTACCAATGAAAGCATGGAAGAAAAATAAGGTTAGGAAAGAAAAGAAAATAGTAAGAGTCAAAAATAAGACATTTATTACCTGGTCCTTAATGTAATTTTTATATTAATTGCCTGCTGTCTTTCTCAGGTACTAAAATTTTTTGCTTTGAAAGGGGAATTAAAGACGATGAAAACCATAAAAGCATATACTGGTACTACATTACCGTTTTTGTTTTATGCATATGTCTTCTCAAAGTAATTATTTTATAAATTCAGCTTTAAAATCCCTTCATTTGTTAACTGAAGTAATAGTGAATCTTTACCCCCTCTTTTGCGCAGCATTACTAGATAAAGAACAAAAATAAATAAATAGGATATTTACAATGTATCCTCGGTTTGATGACCAAGTTTGCAATATTACTTGGTGGCATAAATGTACAGCAGTGGGAAGATTCAAATTCTTTGTGTCAAGAAGTTAATAAATAACTAAACTACTCACTTGAGAGCCAGCAACAAAGCAATTTGTTCTTGCCAACTAGAAGTGGTTAAATTATGAAAAATTGTCCTCTAAAGATCTGAGTGATCCATGAATCTAATTTGTGAACCACACAGCATTCAGTGTGTTGTAGCACTGGGTATCTCATATTTTCTATATTAAGAGTAGTGAGATATGTCCAATGTCAATGTCAGTTTATGCATTATATAGGTAATATCTCCAGGCAGGGTAATGGACTACAAGATATAAATAGCCTAACAAAAAATATCAAAGTCATTTGGGCAGGGAGTGTTTGTTTTCATTAACTTGTAAATATATCATGTTCCTGAAATTATATTCTAAAAGGTGATTTAAAAAATACTGTTCAGTCCACTAGAGATAGATAGTCAAGCTATGCCAGCTTTAAAAAATTTAAACAAATAAATAAAAATATAAAATACAAGGAAAATATAATTGTGAAAATAAAGAGTCATTTCGTTTAACTAGATAAACAAATTATGTCTTCACAAATTATGTTGATGACAGTGTTTAAAATCCTGTACAATAATGATTTGATAGCAAGATAAACAAGAGCAGTGGAGAAGGGCTCTGGAAATAAATTCATATCTAGATGAGAGTCAATACTAGAGAGGGTCTAATAGAAATTGTATTTTATGAAAATTTTCTTTTTTAAAACAAAAGCAGTAAACAAAAACAATACAGCCAGTTAATTATGTGTGTATTGCTTTTCCTGCTCTCATTTTCCTGAACAAAACCTTCTAGGGATGAGATAGCAAGGGACTGATCTAATGCAACCTGACATAAAGAGTTGTGGTAAACAAAATATGCAAATTTTTAATTTTTTTTTTTAGTTGAACAGATCCCCTTGTGATGAAAAAACTCGTGTTAACATTTCTGTCTAGAACAACTCAGAGCTGCATCCTTTGCAGTTTCAAATGTTGCCTGATAAAGAATCAGAGGGGCTTTAGAACTGATCACATTATTCACAGAACAGTTATTTCATACATAGCTATTTATAAAAAAAAGAGGAACCAAAGAAAATAGAGCTATTGCCTCTTCTGACTTACTCAAAGGCTTCCACAAGAATTATATTGTCTTTTCTTTACAACAATCAAGTGAATAAGCAATTAGCTTATAATAATAATAATAATAGTAATAATAATAATTTCCTCCTTTGTCTGTAATTCATTGAGGTCTGACTTTGTTATCCAGATACAGATACACAACCAACTGATGTGTGGAGAGAAGGGTGTCTTGATGGAAAAGTGGAAAAGTTCATTTTGAGGGAAAAGGATGAATTCATGTTAATAGCATTTACCTCCAAATGGCATTTAGGTCATCTGTAATATATTTCATGTTTGACTCTCTAAAAGGTCACAAAGGAGAATAAATGATGTCATTATTATGGAGTGAGGAAAATGATCGTTTGTAAAGATGAACTGCATTATCTTGTAATACACATCATACTTTTTTAGTGAAAGTAAAAATTGTCGTTGACTTATCCACTTTGAAAGTGATTACTGAAAGCCTTCTTTCCTGCTGGTATTTAAGAAAGAAAACTCTTTGTTTTGTTTAATGTTTAATCATGTATTTATAAGGTATTACCATAAACAGAACTGAAAAAATAAATTGAGAAAATTTTTAGAGGTCAACAACAATCTCCTATTTTAAGCACACTGCTGGATATGAAGAAATGTAACTTCTACTTTATTAATTCAAAATCAGTAAAAATAATTTAAAATAATATGTTCATACATGTCTCTGTTTCATACAGAAATGCATATAAAATTGCTTTTCTTCAAAAAGCTTTGGGGACATTGCAACAATTTATTTGGTGGAAAGCTATGCCAGTGAACCTAGATCTTCAAGGCTTTTTAATGGTTCAGTAATATTTAAACAGTGGGGGGGGGAATCAGAAAAAACAAACAAACAAACAAACAAAAAAACCCCACACACCTCCCTGTATTCCATAGGACATACCCCAATATTCCAAAAGCTATCAAAGTTAACGCTGAATGGAATATCTGACTGATTTTGGAATGGGAACAAGCAATCTTCTCCAATTCTTTATTTGAATTACATGGTACAGTGTTTCCACAGAGCTGCCAGGATCTGCTGTACACTCCAACAGCCAGACTCTCCTGTGATGCATTTTCACAGATTTTATTTTCGCAGTGGGAGGTGAATAAAACAATAAACATGTGTACAGCAAATACTTACCCCACTTAGCAAAGCCCGTGCCTCGCTGTATCTGCTGCCTGCTGGATGTCATGGTGCATAAATCCCCTAATTGTACAGGGAAAATCACATGTCTGTGACAGAAACAGCTTATGGAAGCCTTTTATGAGCTCTGGAGTTTGTCCAATATTATCTGTACTTTTCTGGCTGTGTTTTGAGTGACTTATGCAGCCTCCCACGGGAGAAGCTTTAAATGAATGAAGTTAAGTACGAGCATGGGAAATTGTGCATGCAACAGAGAGCAGGCAAAGATCAGAGTCTGTCATGTTTCAAAGAGAATACATAAAGAACTGGTGGTTTATTTCAAAAGGTATCTTGCAGTAGTAGAGATTATTGCTACATAGATTTATTCTCTACTTTCAAACTAACAGAATTACTTTTCTTTCTCTTACAGAATAATGATATAATCTATTACAATGCAAAAGACGATCAGAATGATGTAAGTAATACATTTCATTTAATTTCATTGCCTGTAATCTCAAAAAATTAGGGGAATGAAAATATTAATGAAACTCTAAGACTATCATTTAAAGATTTGGCAGAAGCTAAAAAGCAAGAAACTTAAAAATGTCTTCAAAAGTTTCCTCAAGGGCCAGACAGTATTTTATGTTTTAATTCTCAAAGTCTGCCTCCTTTCATACAGTTTGAATTACTGGTCAGGCAGAAAATGTGCTGGGAGAATGAAGATCCTAACAGCAGTATAATTCACTTTTTGAAACGTAATAAAATCATAATTATAGGATTGGAGAATCAAAATGATAAATGTAAATAATTCAGTTCACTCTGAAGGAACCATTTTCTGGCCTTATTTTCAAGATCAAATGATGATATTCTGTATTCTTTGAAATAAATTTTTTACATCAGGAGAAAGAAGATGTGAAATGTTTCTCAATAATTATTTTCATTCACTTTGTGATCATTTACGTGACTATAATAATAATAATTTGGGAAAATTGAAAATCCAATCAAAACATTTAGACTAAATTTATGAAACTTCAATTCCTGGTTTACTAAAGCTCTTACTTTAAAAGATTTGAAGTCTCCTATCTGCTATTAACTATTAAAAATCTTAATGTGTTCTGGAGACAATACAAGTTATCCTCACCTTCACTGTAGATAATACAACTGCTTTTCTTAATTATAGATTTAATTTATAAAGCCATAGAAAAATGTTGTAAATGTATTAATCAGAATTGCTAGCATGCTTCATTTGCACTTTTTAATCAAGTAGACTTTAGGGATTGATGGCATCACTATTGTAATTGATGCTTCTGCTGTAAGGCAATTAAAGAAGGTACATAGATCATGTCAAGCAGAGATATTTTATATGTTATATAGAGTTATGAGGACTTCGTTTCAGATATCACAAACTACTTTCCTGAGTTTTAAAGTTTGCATGGTTTAAGTAAAATTCATTAAAAGTAACCTCAATTTGAAATATATTATTCTGTTCTCATTAAATTCGCTGGATACCAGGTGCTAATCTCCTCTGGAAACAGAATTACAAAGCTTAAATATTGAATTCTTAATATAAATATACCAGATAGTAATGGTAGACTGTGGTGTGAAGTAAAAAATGTGATGTATCTGTTATGATTAAGTAGTACTGGGAAAGATCTTGAGATTACTATTTCTACAACAGAAATCTAAATCTAGATTTAGGCAAGGCAGGAAAGGAAATACTGTTTCAGAGTTTAGTCTTTGTTTTTTTTTATTTTCTTCAGGACATTCTTTTCCCTTCAAGATAAAAGTGCACACACACAATAAAACAAAGATTGTTAGACCAGATATCCTGTTTTATTTCTGTTTCAGTTTCATTTCTTTTTATATCTTTTTGAACATTCATTAGAATGAAGTTTATAGTAATGTTTATTGTCAAGAAGTGTTAAGGATCCAATGATCAATGATCTGATGGTGATATTTTTTGAGAAGATCTTCATCTAGATCTCAACTATGCATGTAAACACCAAATTCTTCCCTCTTCCTGCCTGAAAAAATGCTTGGGACAGGTTTGTTTTTTTTTTTTTTTCTTTAAATATTGAGAAATTTTAATAGAATCATCTCTGAAGCACTGGTTGGTAAAACTATGTTTGCAATCCATTCCTTTCTGTCTCTAACATGTCCACACTTTTTTTTTCTTCCATGCTGTGAGCCTTCATTATTCACAGGAAATGATATTATATTTATCTTTGAGTACAATCAAGAATAATTAGTAGCAGAAATTAATTTATTAAAATTAGACATCTAAACGAATCTCTGTGGGTATCTCGAGAGAGCTGTTCAGTTTGTTTTGAGAGAGATATCTAAGGTTATCTGAATCAGTTCTGGGTGTGTGTTTCTCTTGGTTGACCAGGTCCCTGTAACATATCCTTTTAGATCTTAACTTTTGGATACTGAAGAATTAGGAGAAATTAATCTCACAGGTCTTGCCTGACAGTTTTTATTTGTCTCCATTCATCCTTTGAATATTACAGCCTTTTCAGAAGAGCAGTCTTCTTAAATTCTGTGTTTCTGGTGTATGTTCTGCTGCAGTACAGTTTTTTTTTCCTTCTTCCCTTTTCTATACGACATTCAGGAGATCTTTCTCTCATTTTTCATCTGCTGTCTTGATGGGCCTTTTCGAATCTAATCACTGGATTTGCTTGTACTTAAAAAAAATAAAGAAGCACATGAAGGCTAATCATTCTCTGGCCTTTGGATTTCTCAGTCTCTCAGATAAAACGATCAATTTGTAGCCTGTAGTCCATCAATCAGTAATGGACCTTTTGTACTCTTTATCTTACAACAGCAATTATATTCTGCTTGCTTATTTCCCCCTCCCCTCAAGAGCTCCATGTAATGTGGGAGCACTTGATGATAATTAATGAGTTCTATCCTCACAACAAGGAAGGAGGTATTATATTTCCATTTTTTATATCTCATAGGAAGATAATGGCCAAACTTGTAATTTAGTATAGGTCTCTCAGGTTTTCATTCACTGTCCTTTTCCCAAGAACCCTTTCAGTTTGATATATTGCAGCCTGTTTGTGCACTTTAATTTGCACCTGTCAACAGCTTGTTGTATTTGGACAAATGCTGCAGTGATTTTATTGGACCACTGAGTAGTCCCACATTAAGCTGCTTTTTCCCATTAGTTTTCATATTGCTTTGCCTGTTTTCTCATCTTGTTCTTTGTACCCCACCTTATTTATAGTAATTTTGCTTCACTGCTCAATTCTTTGCTCTTCTGTATTATGGTCTCCATTTTATTTCCAGTGATTCCACATCTAGTTTATAGATTCTTCCTAAATATTTTTTTTCTGTTTCCTTGTATTCAAGTAATCCACAACTCGACTATGCACTGAATTGCTCAATTGCTTAATTTTAATTTATCCTGAATTCCTTTCCTAATGTTTCTCTCATCTCCTCTTTGCATCTTGCTCCTTTTCCAAATTTTTTAGTATAATTTCTTGTCATGGTTTTATAAATCTTTTCCTTCACAAGCTACAACAGCTTAAAGAAATTATTTTTCAATGATTTGATGGAAAGAACTAAGTAATACAAATAAAGAAGTGTCTCTAACATGAAACCAGCCACACATAAAGGAAGTCTCCAGTTTCCCTATAATCCCTAGACATTAATTGGGAGCAGCCAGTTGTATCTCCTGGCAAGAGTTGTGTCCCTAGTTAGCACAAGTGATTTATTAGACATTGCCTTCATTCAGTCTCATACTGGCTTACAGTCATGACTAACAGAGCTGTGCTCCTTGTGCAATTATTGATCACACACTAAGTGATAGTAGCACTTTTTATTTCCTTTTACTCAACTAATGTGGAGGCTGTAAAATTATGGGTCCCTTTGGCAGGTAGCTATCTGCACAAAGTGTGAATTCAGAATGTGACTAGGAGTCAATGAGTGGGTTCCACTAGAAGCAAAAATCTGGAACATGCCTATGGTTGATTTTAAAACAAATACATTTTTTATTACTTCATAATAAAGAAGGAAGAAATATTTTAAACTGATAAGCAGTCTGTGCCATATGGTTTAGGAATTTTTTCCTAATTCACTTGATGCCTTGTTATTTTGGAATGATTTGTGAAGCCTTAACTTTCTTTGAGTTTAAACTGCAGCATAAATGCAGCTATGAATTTGAGGTTTTATGAATACTGATAAAATTATAGCTACATCAAATTGAAAACTATTGTAAAAATATGGAAATATTATTAATTTTGAATTCAAATTCTTCAGAAAAATCATGGTATGTTTTAACAAACATTTTAGAAAACAAAATAATTTCCACCACTCAACATTTTTTTTTAATATGAAGGTTGTGGGGTTTTTTTGTTGTTGTTGTTTTTAGTTTTTGTTTGTTTGTTTGTTTTTTGGGGTTTTTTTTGTTTGTTTTGTTTTGTTGTGTTTTGTTTTGTTGTATTTTGTTTTGGTTTGTTTTTTTTAATATTGGAAAGAAGTAAGCAGAGACCAGAATGGTTATCTAAGAGCATGCTCCAAAGAAGAGACGAGGCGATTTAGAGGCATTGACAGTGGCTTTGGAAGTGTATTGAGTCTCTGCTTATAGCCTTACACACGTCTTGCCTTTTCTACTTCTTTATGGTATCAAGGTTGCAAAATCTACTTCTATGTGCATCTATGATTAATTTAGTAAAAAGAAGTCTGTTAATGAAATATCCCAGGTCTACCTGTAAACAAGTCTGAACCTACTGTAGATTTGATCAGAGAAATGATGGTTTGGTTTTTTGTTTCCCTCCAGCCACAAGAATTCAGGAGTTTCCTGGCTTTTTCCCTTATAACGTATATTGAAAATGGCATCATAATTTAATTTATGCTGGTATGATATTTTATGTATTTTATAGCTGGACATCAGAAAATAGAAGTGTTTCAGGAGCTGTGTGTTGGGTCAGGTAGAGCCCTTGAGGGGGGGATGGCACCTGAATATGGTCAGTTTGGAAGAGGATTGGGAGCTGAGGCAGGGCAGATGGGAGACTGCAGTGATCCAATCTCAAAAGTAGCAGGTATAGAAAGACTTCTAGAGACTGAAAAGGTGATGCCAGATTTCTACAAGTCCAGCAGCTGCCAGCTGCTGGATTGAAAAGTGAGACTCTAATGACTGGCCCTGACACTACAGAGAAAGCTGGGACAGAGACTGCTTTTTGCAAATCATCCAACAGATACGGACTTCCTCTGGCTTTTCAGGGTTTTTAAACCGGATTCTGATAAGATAGAACCTTTAGAAACTCCCTTTCATCCACATATGTAATATGAGCAGTTCTGTCTCTGTGCTTTCACTGTGTCTGGATGCCAGCATGCAAATAACCAAATCAGTATCTGACCATCTGGGTTTAGCTAATGGAAGACCTCAAAGCATCATTTTTTTTCTAAGCTAAAGCTACTAACTTTTCAATATTTCCTAGACAGTGAAGGATAGGTGTTTCCAATCAGAAA